ACGAGGACTCGTTTTATTTGTCAACTTCCCGGGCTGCCGCGCCCGACCGGCACCTCCTTCCTTCCCAAAGTGGGGGTGGGCGAGGTCCCCTGAAAGCAGGAGCACGTGTCCAGGGTGGAGAGGGTGGTCCACCCACTTCCCAGGACGCGAAGACCCGGCCCCTGGGAGAGGGAGGACCCGGAGGCTTTGTTACCCGAGTCCCTGCCTGGGAGCATCTCTGGGCACCCAGTTCTCTCCCCTGGCATGTACCCAGCCGTGGGGAACACCGCGTGGGGGTGTTTTCCTACCCATCTTGTTCATAATTTACCGAACCACGTGTTTAGGAGATTCTGGCCCAAAGTGACATAGATGTTTGAGATGGATGCTGATTTTTTTTTTACTAATAACACCGAGATACTTAGAACAAATCATGCGGGGCAGGGAGGGCCTGGGTCCAGTGAGAAAGATCCCAGGCAAACGAAAAAGTTGGCCTGTTTTGGTAAAAGCCAAAGTTTCCTTCAGGAGGCCCGCCCCGGGGGCCCTACCTCAGAGGACCTGCCACAAGGCCTGCCGGACCCCGACAGTCCCAGGCTCCAGGGCCATCCCCAGCCTACCCAGGGTGCTTCCTAGTACTCGGTTGTCACAGGTGCTCACTGTAGCCCATTTTAGTCAAAGGCACATAAACTGTCAGTGTGACCACCTCTGCCATACCCACGTAAGATGACCCCAAGTGACCACCCAGTTGCCAAGGGGAGGAATCACAGTCTCGGCCCAGCAGAGTGTTCTGGGTTACTGAGCATTGTCTTCCTAGTCTCTGCCCCTCACAGGCCCTCTCTAGCTCCTAAGGCACACCCCACCCCATTTCCTAAATTGACTGTTTCACTCTGTGTCCCCCCAGAAGGGCTAGGAAAGTGTAGGTCCCTGGGCAGCTGCCTCTTGCTCCTGGTCTGTGGTTTCCTTCTGTGTTGCTATAAAGAGGCTCCAGCCCGGCACGCGTGGTTCAGTGGTTGTGTCCACCTAGGATCCAGGAGGTCACAGTAGTCGGGACACATGCCTGGGCTGTGAGCTCGATCCCCAGTAGGGGGAGCTCAGGAGGCAGACGATCCATGACTGTCATCATTGATGTTTCTCTCTTCCTCTCCCTTCCTCTCTTTGAAATCAATAAAAACATATTAAAAAGAGGCTCCAGAGGCTCCAGAAGATGGTAGAAAGGTGGGATGAATCAGCCATCCAATAATCTTTATTTTCCCACTCGGTTCCTTTTCCCACTTGGTTCCTCTACGCTCTGGAACATGGCCGGGGCCACGTGCCCAGGGAGGGGAGCCTGTGGGCTGAGGTTTGTAAGACGGTTTCCATCCTGGCTGCATCTGAGCTCCGGGCAGGATCTGGCCCTGAGAACTCCCAGCCCGGCCTCACTGGGAGACAGGTGTGGGCGAGCCCCTTCCCGGGGCTGTGAGGAAGGAAGAGCTCCTCTAAGGCCAGGCAGAAACATGAAGGGAGGCAGAAACCTCCCTCTCAGCCCTGTGTGGTCTTCAGAAAGCAGGTCTTGACTTAGGGTGCTGGGCCTCCCTCGGGAACAGCTGGGGTGATTGGCCCATAGTTACAGAGACAGGGCAGCCCTCTCGGCCTCTGAGGGGCCCCCACACTTTCCCTCTTCCAGGGACCTCAACTGCCTGGCCTGTTCCTCTGCGGCCTGCCGGCCTGGACACGTGGGCTCTGGGGGAGTCTGGGAGGCTGGATACCCTCACAGATGTGGGGTGAGTAAGCAGGTCACTGCTGGGGCCTTGAGAATTTCTCCAAGGTCAGGACCAGGCTTTCCTGGCTCTGGCCTCTTGGGAGGAGCCCAGGTGGAGATGGTCCTGTGAGCCCAGAAAGGCGGTGCAGACGGAGCGGTTTCTGATTGTTTTTTCTTAATGGCAGCAAAGCTTGGAATGTCCCTGTCACATACGCAGAGGCCGAAGCTCCCAGGGCACTGGGGCATCTCCCTGAGATCTGCTGGAATGCCAGCTCGGCTCCTATCCTTATGTTCAGGGAGACAAGGGAGGTTCCCCCTGTATCCACTTGGGGCGCTAGAGGAAGCAGAGGAGTAGCCAGTGGTGAAGACCTGAAGTCCGGCCGTGGTCCTGGCTGATTCGGGTCCTGTGATCACACATGCTCACTGAGGGGGCACCCCTTTCCCATGCCCACCCAGGGGGCCCCCAGGTCGCAAGTCCCACTTTCCCCAGATCCACCTTCCCAGGCCAGGGAGGGTGCCAGGGGTCAGGGGCTGGGCTCCCCAGGCAGCTGGGCAGCGTACAGGGCCAGGGTGTGGTGCAGGAACTGGTACTGCTCCGAGGTCTGGATCATGCCCCCCCTGTGGGGAGAAGCACACAGCCCATGAGTCCCTAGGGCGATCCTGACTCCCCGGGGAGCCTGTCAGTCCCTTCATGTTCACCCATCCTCTCTGCTTCCTATTCCTGGCTGCCCCTCAGACCTTTCCCATGGGAGCCCCCTGCCCCTTACTCAGGGCTGAACCCGCGGTGGGCGGGGGTCTGTGCCGAGGAGGAGACTCTGCACACTGGCAGTGGTCTCCTCTGGCTCAGCAGCTGCTGGGGCAGAACTGGCCCCTGATTCCTGAGGCCGGGCCAGGAATACTCCTGGGCCCCAAGGTTTCCTTTTCCAATAATCTTAAAAGTAAAAACAATAACCTCACACATATGTATAGTAGGTTCTCATGTCCCCAAACCACTTCCATTCAAGTTGGCTCAGTCCTTGTGGAATCTTTCTGGGGAAGTGGCTGTTGCTTCTCTCTAGAGATGGGGCCCAGGAAAATATAGTGACAGCTCTGTGCGGAGTGGCATAGTTAATTCTAGGTGCCCAGGCTGAAGTTCTGGATAGAGATTCCTTCCTGGGTGTCATTCCCCAAAGAAACAGCTCTGTAAGCAGAGGGGCCCCTTCCTTTCTCGCAGGAAGTGCCAGATGGTCATGTGCCTGTGAGCGCTCTGACCCCGAGAGGCACAGAGGCCACTCGGTGTCCTTGGTCCCACTTATGCCCACGGACCCACCTGTCCAGCCGCAGTTGGCACACGATGCCCAGGATGTCCACTTCCCCTCGGGCCTTCAGCTGTTGGCAGCCTATCCGGGTGGCGATGAAGCAGCCGGTCCGGCCAATCCCTGCACTGAATGTAGCCAGGGAGGGGACCGGAGGTCACAGGTGTCCGGGGAACCTGGGGGCCAGGCCCTGAGCCATAGTGGAAGCAGCAGGAGCTAATGCACACTATTTGGGGGCTGGGGACACCAGGTGAGGCGGGCGGTGAGGCCTTGGCAGGTAATAGCTGGCCCTGGACCAGTTACATTTCTTACTGGCCTCACTCTAAGTCTATTGCAGGCCGCCCTCAGGTCCTGTGGGCGTTTGAGGAGCTCTTGACAGTGGTTTCCAACTGACAGTGCCCACGCTGGCCTGGCTGACCCTGAACCTCCTTATCGGACAATGACTTCCTCCTAGCAGCCTCTCCACAGGGTGACGCCCAGCCCTACTCCTGCCTCAGGTCCTTCCTCAGTTCTCTCTCTTGCCCTTTATTTTGAAAATCTCGGGCCTCCGTCTTAGGAAGTCTTCCCGAGTGAACCCCTGGTGGGAGCCACTGGCCACCTCCCATGCTGATGTCCAAGGGCCACCTGTGTGTGGGGGTGCATGAGCCCCTCTGTGTTCTGCTTTATTTAGGACACACACTCCTGGATGGTGTTCTTGTTTTAAACTTGTCCCCTGAGTGACCCCCACTCCACCCCAGTCCACTTTTTACTTTTTAGCCAAAGGATTCCTTCTAAATGGCAAATCCAAGTATCTTAGCCAGTCCTATGAGGGCCCCTCTTCCTCTGGCCTTCCAGAATCATCTCTTGTCACTCTCCCCGCATATGACCTCCAGACCCCCAGCCTCTAAACTCCCAGCAATGCATCCATTTGAGTATCTCATCTCTGGGCCTTTGCAAGTGCTGTTCCACCTGCCAGCAACACGTCCCCTCATCTGTCACTGTTCAGGTTTTAGCCCAGCTTAGAGAGGCATCCTTTGTCCTGGAAAACCTTCTCTGCCCAGAGTCTGGGTGGGGCTGCGTGGAGGGCGGGGCCGTGTACCTGCAATGGACCACGATGGGCCCCATGCCGGCAGCTGTCTCTGGGCTGTCCTCCACTTCGGCCACCAGGCGTAGCAGTGGCCCAGCCGACTCCGGGGTCTGGTGGTCAGGCCAGGCTGAGAAGAGTACATGCTTCACTGACCGGCACTCCTCCTGGTGCTAGCGTGGGGACAAGGCACGGGACCCAGGGTCAGGGAGGAGGGCACTGCTAGCCTTCTTTCCCGGTGCCAGGGGAGGGCAAGGCTGGAGTGACCCCTGGGGGGCGGTCATGGACCCTGAGCTGGTAAGGTCAGCTCTTTTCCTGCCCATCACACTCCTCCCCGCCCCCTCCGGAAATGCTGGGAAGGCACACTGGCCCAGAGACGGACAGTCCTGTTCTGCCTCCTGCTAGCACATGACTTTGAGCAAGTCCTTTCAGCTCATTTTCTTCACTGAAAAAATGGGGGCAGTGGCCCTGGCAAGCGTGGCTCTGTGGTTGGAGCGTCAGCCTAAACACCAAAGGGTTAGATTCCTGTCAAAAGCACCTACCTTGGTGTGGATTTGCACCCCACCTCCAGTCGGGGCACTTGTGGGAGGCAACCAGTCCATGTGTCCCTCTCAAATTGATGTTTCTCTCTCTCTGCCTCTCCCCCCCTTCCATTCTCTCTGAAAAGCAATGGAAAAAAATATCCTAATGTGAGGATTAACAAAACAAAAAAAGTATTGGATGCGTAAACCTTGGCTCCCAGTGGAGGTCGGCCCCAGGTCCCGGAGAGGCTGGGTGGCCCGCTGCCCCGGGGGCAGGCCTGTACCTGGATGGTGAGCTGCCGCACGGTGTATTCTGGGAGCTCTCTCTCCTCTTGGACACGGATCCGGAAGGGCCCGTACGTGTCCTCATCTGTGGGCCAGTAGTGGACACATTTCTAGGAGGGAAGGAGCTGGGAGTCAGAGAAGGAGGGGTCTATCAGCCGGGGCAGGGCCAGGGGAGCAGAAAGGGGAATGGGGCCCCTCCCCACCTCCATCCCTACCCCCCCTGCAGATGAAATGCTCACCCCAGCTCCACGGGGTGCATCTCAACACTTTTCTGAGAGGGGCAAGCTGGGCCTGCCTACAGTTGTCCTCAGCTCCCAGGGGAGTTCTGAGCAGCCCTGAGGTGTGGTGTGTGTGTGGTGTGGGGGTGCGGCCCTTTATGGGCCCACCTCCTACCTCCTTGCTCTCCCGGAGCTGAGTGAGCATGACAATGAGCGACACTTCTTCCTGCCACACCATCTCCCAGAAGTCCGACACAGTGTTGGGCATCGGGCCCTGGGTCGCAATGTAGACCTTCTCCTGCCCGTCATAGCCCTGGAGAGGCAGGTGCGTAGGAGAAGGGATGGGCACAGTGAGAGGCGAGCTCTGGGGAACCTCAGGCTCTGCGGGTCCTAGGATCAGGCTGATCCTAGTGTGCACACGTAGACACGCCTGTGCACACATACAAACATGCACTCAGACACGTGCACACAGACATGTGCACACGTAGAGACACGTGTGCACACATAGAAACACACGTGTGCTCACAGACACATGTGCACATGCAGACACATGCACATGTGCACACATACACACATGGGCAAGGTGCACAGACACACATGCAGACACAGACACAAATGTGCACATGTACACATATGCATATATGCACATGTAGACACGCGCGTATGCGCACACATGCACACATGTGGACACACATGCACATGCACAAATGCACACGCCAGAAGCACACGGTGGAGAGGACGTGGGTTCTGGAATGAGGACCACCTGGGTTCAGATCCCTGTCCTGCTGCTGGCTGTCTGTGCCACCATAAGCAAGTTACCCGACTTCCGTGAGCCTCAGCTTTCTCATCTGTGAACTGGCATAACCTCTACCGTGCAGGAACAGGGTACAGGTTAGCTTCAAACTAAGAGACTAGCACACATCAGGTCCTCTTTAAATGCTTGTTTCCCTCTCCCCTGCTTTCTCCAAGGGCTGTTTCACTTCACATATTACTTTTATGTATTTAATAGCAAGATGAAGCACAGTCTCGCCAGCCCTCTTTTCTCTGATTCAGACCTCTGTTCACCTGGTTTCTGCCGGCAGGTGGGGGATCCTGTTCCCCAGGGTCCCAGCCTAACAGCTTTTTACCCCTTTGCACCTGACCACTGTCCTACCCCTTCAGGCCCCTAGACGGCGCTATTGCACATGCAGTATTTAGGGCCGTGGCAGTGGGATGCTGGAGTGGAGCTGACCTCACCTCCCGGTTCCTATTGCTTGATGTGAACCAACTCCACAGAGGAGGGGCTGCATGTGGGCAGGTAAGGGGAGAGAGAGAGAGAGGGAGGGAGGGAGAGGCCCATTTATGCCGGCACCTCCCACGCAGACCGCAGGCACCATCAGCCCTTGAGAGGCTGGGGACTGGGCTCAACCTGCCAACTCCTTCCCCATTTAGAGTTGGCAGGGATGACGTGATGGGGTGGGTCCAGGAGACTTGGGGTCCCTTTTTCTGCTTGTTTAACATCTGCTCTGTTTTTTGGGGGATGTCCTGGGAACTGTTCAGTATCTGGGCCAGCCTAGCAGGACAGCTGTGAGTCTGAGCAGGGAAACCTACAGCCTCCACGGGAGATGCTCCTGGGGCCAGCCGCAAACACACACACCCTCCCCTGCACTGCTGGCCACTCACTCGGATGTAGTTGGCATTGATGTAGTCTCCATCCTCTTGGCTCTGTGCCCGGCCAAGACACACGCGGCTCTGGGGATCTAGGAAGTCAAGTCAGCGGATGTCAGAGGTCAAAAGGTGACCTGCGAATGCAGACTCCAGCAGGCCGGGGAAAGAGAGGGCAGGTCCTGTGGTTATCACCACACCTGTGCGTAGCTAGTGAATTATTGTCTGTGTGGACAATAGGGAGCCACAGCGTGTTTTTGAGCAGCAGGGTGACATGGTCAAAGCCATCATTGGGGGAGGCTGGCGGGTGCTGTGTAGGGTGGACTGGCGAGGAAGAAAGTGGAGAGCAGAGACCTAATGGATGTCACTGTGACACTGTGCTCCTGAGATCATATGGGTGGAGAACAGGGTCGTGTCAGAGGTGCTGCTGGGGAGGAAGCTTGGCTGAGGGCAAATATCATTGAATGAGGTGCCTAAAATCACACATAGGTGAGGCCTCTCCTCTAAGGGCAAGGGCTTTCGCAGCCCCAGTCCCAGCAGGAGGCAGAGACCAGCTCATGAGGAAGGGAGGACAGACTGGCTCTCCCAGTGCCCGCTTGGCTCAGGGCACAGGGTACTCGGGTGCTGAGGAATCTCAGGCAGAGGGACCTTCCTTCTCTGGTGGCTGTGGGGCTGGTGACAATCAGAACAAGAGCAGGACTGCTCCCTGGCCCACTGCCATGTGGGCAGAGGCTGGACCCTTGGGAGACAAGGATGGGCAGGAACCCGAGCGGACCCCTCAAGACTGGGTGTTGCCAAGGTGCGTTGGACCGATAAGGCTGCTCAGAGGGGGTGGGGGCGGGAGGGAGCGTTTCCACGGCCTCATGGCCCCAGGCCTCCTGCTGCCTGTGAAATGTAGCAGCTGCTGGTCCCAGGCCTGTCAAGCTCACAGCCCCGCGCTTCCCTCCATCTCCCTCCGGCCACTATTCCCCTGCCTCCAGCTCAGATTCTCCAAGCCCCTCTCAGGGAGCCGTCCCGATGGGGCCTCTTCCCCTGCAGGCCTTTGCTGGCTGAACACCCCATGTGGGAGGAATAGGAGGAAGGGGGTTTGGTGCCACTGGCTGGGTGACCTTGGGTGAGGCACGCAGCATCTCTGCGACTCAGTTTCCCCATTTGTAAAATAGAGATAATGATAACCGTGGCATCAACATCACGGGTTGTTCTGAGGGACTTGTGCAGAGCCTGGCCCCCAGGAAGCACCCACGTGCGGGAGATTGATTCTTGTTGATTGTGGTGTGGCTGCGACTCTCCCTCCCCCAGCCTTGCGGTGCTGGGGTGTCTGCTGAGAGCGGAGGCCCCATGTGTACTCGCTGGCTCTCCCCTGGCCGAGGCCACGCGTCCTGCCTTCTGAGCTCCTCCAGCCCCAGGGACAGTGCCTCCCGCCACCTTGCTCCCCGCCGCAGTGCTTACTTGGCAAGATGGTCTTGTATCGGTCCTTCGAGGCATGGCCAGGGATATCCAGGTCTTCGGGGCTGACAAAGTTTGGGGGGATCTTCTGGCAGGGGGAGGACACGAATGAACAGCCAAATCCCCTGCCCAGGGTCCCCCCCCC